GTTCATTGAAATGAAAAAAAAAAATAAATAAAAAATTTAAAAAAAAAGAAAACAGAGATCAGCATCATGATAGAGAAGATACTGATATTGTTAACTACTTCAGCTAGCTTGGTTCTACAATCAACCCTCTTTGCACCAGCAATCAGGAAAAAAAAAGATAAATTGCATTGGGTAAATCTGCTGTCAGGGACCTTTCCAGAGTACTGAAGAGCAACGATGTCAATCTAGAGACTAAGGTGAGACTGATCTAAGCCATGGTCTTTGCAATTACTTGCTGTGCATCAGAGAGCTGGACAATGACTAAAGGGGGAAAGAAAAATTGTCAATACCTTTGAGTTGTAGTGCTGTAGAAGAGTATTGACATAACACAGACTGTTAAGAGAACAAACAGGTATATCCTGGATTGGATGAAACTGAGCTGCTCCTTAGAGGCCAGGATTTTGAAGCTCCCTCTCAGATACATTTGACATGTCCTTTGAGAAGGACATCATGCTTGGGAGGGTGGAGGGACAGGGCAAGAGAAGAGCCTGGATGATATGGATTGACTCAGTAACTGGGGTGATGGGGTAGGCATGTCAGAGACACTGTAATTGGCTTGGGATAGAGCAAGGTTCAGAGTTATTGTACCTAGGGTCACTATGAGAGACAGCTGATCAACAGCACAAAACAACAACAACAATAGATAACTGAAAACAGCATAGCTTAGCTCAAGCAGTTTAGTCCTCAAAGTGTTTTATTTTACTGGAGGTTATAGTTTATAGTCTGAACTTCATCAGTAAAGCTTCAAGTCATCTTACTTTCAGAAAGGAAGGGTGTATTGCCTGTATATCATGGGCTATTAATGAATTTCTTCCAATCTTGGTATCATATTCCTCCTCATATAGTCTAGCTTCTTGGATTATTTGCTCCCTGCACAGACCAAGTATGGCAAAAAGGTATAGTTCTGATATATCATTTCTGATTATAAACCATGAAGTATGTCTGTATTCTGTTTGAACAACTGCCTCATGGTCAATGCACACCTTCCACGTACGTACAATTAAGTACTTTAGAAAATTCTCATTCTCCAATATTATTAATAATATGCTATGGTTCACACAGTCAAATGTCTTTTGTAGTCAATAAATCAGAGGTAGATATCTGGTACATATCCACCTGACATTCTCTGCTTTCAGCCAAGATCCATGTGTTTATCAGCAATGATACTGCTCCTATCGCAGTTCTCTGTTGATGACTACTGTAACTGTTTTTCAACTAACAGAAAATTTCACTTGTGTATGACATTAACGATACTACTTGATAATTTGTGCATTCTCATTGATTGCTTTTCTTTGGAATAGGCCCATATACATATCTTTTCTGATTATTACATGTAGCCACACAGTTATGATCACATTTCTTGTGAGCTTTCAAGGATTTAATAGCATTTCTCTGGAATTTTCAATTAGCAAAGATTAAAAACAAAAAGCAGCCAAGAGGAAAGCAGAGTTTGTTGGCGTGTTTTTTTTTTTTGTTTATTTTTTTTTTTACCAGTGTTAAAAGGACCATCTACATAAAGTACTACCTTCTACTGAATTGTGAACAATTCTAAAATATGCAACATTAGATTTTTCAGTTAAGCCATTATTTCTTTTGGAAGTTCTAGGTTAAATGCAAGTAATTCTTCTAGATTGATAGTAACTTATTCTGGGTTGGCTTACTAGTATAGCTGGTTATTATGTGTTGTTATGTGCCGTCAACTTGCTTGTGGTTATGATGTAGGTCTTGCTAAAAGTCTGGCTTCCCTAGCCAATTGTCTTCAATTTGATCCAGTTGTCCTGCAGGCAGGTGGCTGGCCTATATCATTAACTGTGAGGCCAAACATAAGATAGAAGGAACGAACAAGAATGTGGGGAGACGGTGGCAAGATGTAGCCTGACAGAACCAGGGCCAGAGATCATGAGACGTCAAGATACCTCAGCACTAAGAAAGAAGGAGCAGAGAAAACAGTGCACATCCTTCTGGGCCAGAGGTTCCTGCACCCAAGATATCTTGCTGTTGACCGAGCAGTTGCCTGGATTAAGTGAGTGATTATTTCTTGCTGTTGACTGAGAAACTGTCTGAACTAATTAATGTATTGTCTTGCTGTTAACTTGGCCTGGGGCTGTTATTTATTGAAACTGGACTTTCACTTTGCTTTCACACATCATTCCTGATCTGACTGCCTAATAAACCCTACAACAGTGAGTAAAAATAGATTCTATAAAATCAGTGTGGTCATTTGTAATAAATATGAAACCCAGTGATTAGAAGTAGGTGCAACAGAGTGGAGGACCATGTCTGACTTTATATGGGTCAGTTTAATACTGTGGATGTTGTTGATGGGGACAGTTCCCCTTGTGGAGCTGGTAGAGGTCAGACCCAGTTGTACCCATGCCGTTCTTGTTCCTATTACACTGGTAAATTCTGTAGTTGGGCTTGAAGGTTATGGTTCTCCCTGAAGAACAAAATCATCTTGGTAGCCTCTAAGAAATGCTGAGCTGACAAAGAGTTCCTACTCTAGACAATTAAATCAGGGCAAGGAAATCAAACATGTGGTGCACTGATGTATTTTTTTTAAGTTCTCAAAATTATTTTAATATGATATCAAGATTGCAAAGTCTTCTGAGGAATGTGATGTTGGGTAAAACGGAGTGTAATTGCTGCTTAAACAGATAGGTCAGGCAATACATCAAGAACTGGCTGATGGGAAGTTGCTTAGAAATAAAATAATTCAGAAACAAGTGTGGAGGTGAGCGGCTCTTAGTTGAATTTAGAATTCATACCAAGCTTTCAAAATTCCTTTCAGAATGTCAGTCTTGGCATTATGTTGTCTCTATCTAAAACACACACTTCTCATTCTTTCAAGTGACAACACATTACAGCAGGTTCATGACTACTAATGTTACTCTGCTTTGTCAGTCATATATCTAGATGAGACAACTTAGTATGAATTGATCTTTATGCTCATTGTTTCTTGTACACATTTTAGGTTCCCTGTAGCTCAGATAACCAGAAAAATATCCAACCAGACTTCATTGGCTGAACTTTTCAAAGCAATAATTTCACTGTTATACTTCCTAAGATTGCCATTAGAAACCATAACATGAGTAACACTTCTGTATTTCCAATTCATTTCAACAATGAAGGTGTCATTCATTCTGTATTGCTGAATGCTCTTTATATAAATTTTATTCTGTTGTTTGGCAGGTATATGATATGGAGCACTGAAAAGCAAAGAACTCATAAAAGATACAAAATAGGTGACCCTGAAGGACATTATACTAAATGAAATATCTCAGTCACCAAAGGACAAATATTGCATAATGCCATTGTTATAAAGTAGGACTGACATGAGGGTTGGGGGAAAACTAAGAAAAGAGGGGATAAATAATGAAGGCTGTATTGAAACAGATGAGGGAAACAACTGTCTAAAAGAAATATATGATTAGGTATTATCTGCATGACAATAGTCCAGAATAAGAAGTGCATAGCAAAGTGGACTGGGGAGCGGGGGAAGAAGGAAATGGTGCAACAATGAAAGAATCTTTTTAAAAGCGGAAAGCAAACTGGGGGTGGGGATAGAGAGGAAAACATGTAACAGTGAATGAATGGAAATCCAAGTTTCCTGTAAATTTTCACTAAAATATCAATAATACTAATAAAAGAAATACTATTTTTTAAAAAAGAGAAATGTTCATCTTTCTGGCTTTGGTTTCCTCGTCTTCAAAGTGTGTGTCATAACACAGACATGCCAGATAGGGGTTTTGTGAAGACCAGAAATAAACAAGTAAATTATGTAGCACAAGTGACTAAAATCCACCATGTATTCAAATTTCAGAGACTATTAATAATGACCAAAAAAATGTTTCTTTTCCGAAGAAAATTTATAGTATAATATAATCAAGAATTACTACTTCAGTTATAAACTTCTGATGTGACAGTTTTAGAAAATAAAGCTTCAAAAATTCTAGGAAATTATTGTAATATAACAAAATCTTAAGTGAAGAGTTATATTTTGGTCTAAGGCTCAATAGCTAAAAATTATGGAAATATATTCAACATTTTACCTTTCCATTTCTTGTAGAATGCTTCTGATGTCTTTTTCTAGCTTAAACTTTTTGCCAAATGGAATGTCTGAAATAATAATATCAACACTTTCTGAAGCCAATGGCAATTCTGAAATACAGAAATGAGAGCATTCTATTAACTTGAAATATGTACAATTCAAATAACAAAATCAACACACACGAATTATTTTTGCACACTGAAGAAAATTTAGTGTTGTTAATACTATTTCTAAAGAATTAACAAGATTCTGAAATGCTGAGTCACTAAAGAATAAAATAGTCCCGTCTGAATTATGTTCTTTGAAAATTGTCCCCCCTCAGTAATATATAAGCAAAATTTTTAATTAAGTAGAAAAATGAAACCTCTAAACATATTACTTGAGTATAATGATGTCTTATCTAGGGTAAATATATTAAGATGTCTAGAAAAATATTTAACAATATTACCTTCTACAATTATCCTTTCCATATACATATATATAGTTGTTGTTTGTGTTAAGTGCCATCAAGTCGTATACGACTCATAGTGACCCTATGAAGAAAAGACCTGAACCCTTGTATAACTTTCATTATTTCTCCATGTTCATCAAGTTTCCAGAGGCAAGATCTCAGGAACAGGATTGAGGCCTTGAGCACCAATGAGGGTAAACCAAGTGAGCTCTGGGAGGATATCAAGAAAATCGTCCATGAAGAATGCAAAAGATCATTACAAAGGCTGAAAAAGAGTAAAAGACCAAGATGGATGTCAGATGAGACTCTGAATATTGAATTAGAGCGCCGAGAAGCCAAAGCTAAAGGAAAAAACCAAGAAATCAAAGAGCTAAACAGAAAATTTCAAAAGGCAGCCAGGGATGACAAAGAGTCTTTCCACAAATGTAATCTATTTGATTCCTATGCATGCCATCAGGTGAAATCCATGCGTATAGCCTGCGTTTATGTTTCTTATAAAAGGTTTTTGCAATGACTAAATCATTGAATGTGGAGAACTCTACCATTCTATCTCCAGCCTCATTTCTCTCACCGAGCCCGTATTTTCCAGCTACTGATCCTTCTTCCCTGTTCCCAACTTTTGCATTCCAGTCGCCTATTATTATCAATCTTGATTGCATGTTTGATCAATTTCTGACTGCAAAAGTTAGTAGAAATCTTCTATTTCCTCCTCTTTGGCTCTAGTTGTTGGTGCAAATATTTGAATTATAGTGGTATTCACTGGATTTCCTTGTATGCGTATGGATATTATCCTGTCGCTCACCACATTGTATTTCAGGATGCATCTAGAAATGACTTTTTTAATTATGAAAAACCAAACCCTTTTTTTCCTCACCTTTTCCTCCCCGGCATAGTAAATCATATAATCATCTGATTCAAAATGTCCCATGCCAAGCCATCTCATTTCACCAATACCTAGTATGTCAATATTTATGTGTTCCATTTCTTTCTTGACAATGTCCAATTTTCCTACATTCATGCTTCTCATGTTCCAATCACTAGTGTCTGCTTTCTAAGATCTCAGTCTCAATTGCCATGTCTGCTAGTCCAAGTGATAGTCTAAGTGTGCTCTATTGTACATAGGGTTTTCGAAGGCCTGTCATTTCGGAGGTGGATGGCCAATCCTTCTTCCTAGTGTGTCTCAATCTTTAAATATATATAATAGTATCTGACAGACAAGCATTCCACAGAAAAGAGCAGATAAAAGACCTCTGCCCAGTTATAACAATGACCAATAGATTCAATGTTGCTGCCCATCCATGCTTCCTTACTCCACCACCATCCCTTCCTACTGTTGCCTACAGCATTTAATAGCTGTCTCCCATAGACCAGCCCCTGATGTGATGGCCTAAGTCTCAAGCCAACAGGATTTATGTGATTCTGAACATATCATGCTGTTGTGAGTCTCTTATGATGCAGCCAATATGACTTCAATTTAAAGTTGTTAAGTACAACTGTAATGTACAACTTCCACTCCAGGATTGCCTTCTTATGGGTTAATACCGCTTGTCTTCCATTTGAAACCAGGTACTGGTGCAAATTTTCTTGGCCCTTGGGCCCAAAACTCTTTTTCTGGCAAAGGCTTCGGGATGCACACTGGCTAATGCAGCCTGGGGTTACCTGGGTTAGATTTCTCCAAAATCTAACCATCGGTGGCATAGTTCATAAAATATTGGACTGCTAGTGGAAAAGATCATTGGCAGTTTGAATTTACCAGCCATGCTTCAGGAGAAAGACGGGTTTTCGCCTGCAGTAAAAAAAAATTCCTTGCACAAACGGAGACTTGTACACCAATGTTCATAGCAGCGTTATTCACCATCACAAGGACATGGAAATAGCCCAGATGTCCAACCACAACTGAGTGGATTGAGAAATTATGGTACATTCACACAATGGTATACTACACAGCACAGAGGAGCAATTATTTTGTAAATTATTACATAACTTGGGAGAAATTTTTGCTACTGCTGTTGTTGAATTCTTTGATACAAACTTCCAACATACTTTGAGCAAAGGGCATTTTGTTTCTGAAAAATTGAGCAGCAACACTTTAGTTGACATGGAAAGTACTTCTTTGAAGGTTTAAAAATTTTAAAATCAAGTCTAACTGATCACAGGTAAGCATGAAAGTTGTTGTTTTTGCTGTTGTTATGTGCCATCGAGTTGCTTGTGATTCATGGTGACCCTGTGCAAAACAACTCATACACTTTGTGTTTCACATGTTCCTCTATTCACTATGCTCATACAATTCACTATGTTTTATAAAATTAATCACCATTGATCCATACCCACCTTTACATTGCCTTTTCAGGTCCCCATTGGATCTTTCCTAATTCTTTTACCTCCTTGCTCTGTCTAGCAAACTCTGTGACCTATGATTATCCCCCTCATCATCTTCAGCACCCCTGTTCCCGCCTATCCTCCCTTTGGACTTTTGTTGCACATCTTACTATTTATCCTTCCATTTTGACAATGTCTAATACAGTATTTGTCCTTATGACACTTAGTTCACTCAGTATAATGCTCTCCAGCCTCTCCTAAGATATACAGTAGAACAGCAGCTTTCTTTCAGTGAGCTCAACCATTGTGTCACTAAGGCTCCTATAAAGAACACAGAATGCTTAAATAAGAGGAATGGAAAGATCTCCTTTTCCTGTTTATAATTTTACCATAAAGCCTGCATCTTTTGTTCAAATATAAATATAATACAGTACTTCATCTAAGAATTAAAATAAATTTCATGTGGACATGAATCATATGACTTTCTGTTGTTAGTACAATTCCTTACCTACTAGACCATCAGAGCTCCCCAAAGAATTATTATATACTCGTATAAATCACAGTAAAGAACGGTTAAAAGGCTAGCACATTTCTTTAAATAAAGACTTTTGAAGGCTTGACTCATGCCTGGGAAGTTATTAGTACTCCCAGACATAATGTATATTTATGCAAAAATCACTATCTTCATTCTCTTTATATGCTTCCATCCCTCATTTATTATTTTTACTTTTCTAGTATAGAATGAAATGATATTCAGCATAGAGAAACTGTATTTCTTTATTCCTAATTGAATCACCTTGAAAATTTGTAGTAGGATGACCTTTATTTTACAAGTTATCTAAAGCAATAACAATTAGTGATTGATGACTGTGTGGATCGTAACAAACTGTGGCTGACTCTGAGAAGAATGGGAATCACAGAACACTTGATCGTGCTAATGATAAACCTATACTTGGACCAAGAGGCAGTTGTCAGAAAAGAACAAGGAAACACTGCATGGTTCAGAATTGGGAAGGGTGTACACCAGGAATGTGTCCTGTCTCCATACCTTTTCAACCTGTAAGCAGAACAGATTATCCGGGAGGCTGGGCTCTATGAGGAGAAATGCCGCATCAGGATTGGTGGAAGATCTATCAACAATCTCCATTATGCACTCAAAGACCACAACTATCAACAAAGAATACTATACCCAGCAAAACTGTTCATCAAATATAAAGGTTGTTGTTTTTGTTATGTGCCGTTGAGTCATCTGTGACTCATAGCGACCCTATGTACAACAGCCCTAAACTCTGTGCTGTGCCAATTGCACTGTCTCCGATACACCCATCCCGATTACCCCCCAGTCACTGAATCAAACCAGCTCATAGAGGGCCTTCCTCTCCTGCGCTGTTTCTCCACCCTCCCAAGCATGATGTCCCTCTCCAAGGACCAGTCCTTCCTTATAACACGTCCCAAGTATGTTAGACGAAGCTTCAGAATCCTTGCCTCCAAGGAGCCACCCAGTTTAACCCTCACCAGAATGAATCTGTTTGTTTTCCTAGCAATCCATGGTACCCTCAATACTCTTCTCCAGAACCACAGCTCAAAGGCATCAATTCTCCTTCTATCCTTCCTAGTCATTGTCCAACTCTCTGATGCATAACAAGTGATTGCAAAGACCATGGTGTGTATCAGATGCACCTTAGTCTCCAGAGAGACACCACTGCTCTTTAGAACTTTGGAAAGGTCCCTAGCAGCAGACTTTTCCATCGCAATACATCTTTTAATTTCCTGGCTATTGGTACTAAGAGTGTTGACTGTGGAACCAAGCAAACCAAAGTTGTTAACAATCTCAATCTCTTCACCATCCACCCTGATGCTGCCAATTGGTCCAGTGGTGAAAAATCTTTGTCTTCTTGACAGAAAAGCAGGACCTAAGGGAGTTTGTAAAAACAAGACTAGTGTTGCAGGAAACACTTAGAGACGTTCTCCTTACAGAGGTGCCACAGAAAGCAGGATGGACCAACGTAACCAGTAACAACACCAAAAAGAATGCAACAAAATGATAGTAATAAAACGTTGCCTCTCAATAATCACACTGAATGTGAATGGTTTAAATGCATCACTGAAGAGAAAAAGAGTAGTAGATTGGATAAACAACCCCCCCAAAAAAAACCCCATAAATATGCTTTCTACAGGAGACACACTTGAAAAGTGAAGATAAAGAAGAACTAGAAGTAAAAGGGTGGAAAAAATATATCAAGCAAATGGCAACTAGAAAAAAGCAGGAATAGCAATATTAATCTCTGATAAAGTAGGTTTCAATGCAAAAGCCATCACAAAAGACACATAATGCTTAAA